ATTGCCACAATCATTACCAGTCCAATAGCAAACCATGTGTTGTAATGGCCTAATCTCTCACCTTGAAGTAATGTACTGGTACTGGTGTCTTGTTGGGAGAAAAAGTTATTTTTTTGTTGATCCGCACGAGGCCTTGGTTCCGCCTGAGGCCCTGGTTCCGCCTGATGTCCTGGTTCTGCATGAGGCCCTGGTTCCGCCTGATGTCCTGGTTCTGCATGAGGCCCTGGTTCCGCCTGAGGCCCTGGTTCCGCCTGAGGCCCTGGTTCCACCTGAGGCCCTGGTTCCACCTGAGGCCCTGGTTCCGCCTGAGGTTCTGGTTCTGCCTGAGGCCCTGGTTCCGCCTGAGGCCCTGGTTCCACCTGAGGCCCTGGTTCCACCTGAGGCCCTGGTTCCACCTGAGGCCCTGGTTCCATCTGAGGCCCTGGTTCCACCTGAGGCCCTGGTTCCGCCTGAGGTCCTGGTTCCACCTGAGGTCCTGGTTCTGCCTGAGGCCCTGGTTCCACCTGAGGCCCTGGTTCCATCTGAGGCCCTGGTTCTGCCTGAGGCCCTGGTTCCATCTGAGGCCCTGGTTCTGCCTGAGGCCCTGGTTCCGCCTGAGGTCCTGGTTCTGCCTGAGGCCCTGGTTCCGCCTGAGGGTTTTCTAATATTATAACTTGTTCAAGTTTATGTTGATACACAACAGAAATTGAAGTAGATTCAATAAATTCATTTTCATGATCATCATTAAAAGGATCTAGTGGTATCACTTTCTTATCATCAGTTTGTTTATCTCTTGTGCAACAGCAATACAGTTTGAATTTCTTCCACCAGCTCAACTTCATCTCACGTGACCAATTGTAATGTTTAAGAAATAGACAAACCAGTGCCAATATGAAGAACAGTTGTGACACTCCATTAGCTGTTGTTGAGAACAATATTGCTATCTTAGTAAGGTCAATGAATTTTTGCACATGATGTGTGTTATTAGCATGTATCAACTCATCTAATGAAAAAAGTAATGAAACATAAAAGTGACAAGTAATGTATAGCAATAAATATTATTTGCATGATGTTAAAAGATACCAGAGCGTGGCTTAAAAATTTGATACTGCTTGTTTGTTATTTTTGGGCATATGCAACCTGAGATCTATATAATATGTGTTGTTCATATGAGCATCAATCAGAGACAGCTCTGCTGCATGACTAATAGGAGTAGGTGCATTGGCTTCTAGATTTTTTGTAAGTTTTAACTTGTACAAAAGAACTAGCTTGACTCATTTTGTTTGCCCCAGTGTTAATAAAAAAATTTACTATTTTTCATCTCATGCAGTCCTTACCTCCAGTCTCTCTCAATATGATATCTACTCTAGTAGTATCTTCATTTGTGGCAATAGTAAAACAAATTGACCTTGATCCTTCACTGTATCTGTATGGACAGTTAGCCCACCCAACAATGAAAGCACTAGTAGGATATACACTGATGGGAATAACCAGTAATACTGATAGTACAATTGTAATATACAGCATCACTTTACGGCAATTTTTCCAAGATCTTTTACAAGTACAGTAGCTACAGCACCAGGATGGGCAGCATTGGACTTCATTTTCCTCACGATCCTCATCATCATCCAGATGAGCTGGTTTGATGTATTGGCAAGTGATAAAACTAAGAATTGCCAAGAGTCTAGGTATCCAGCAAGTAGTACAGGCTGAAACCAAATACAAATTAAGTATTATAAACCAAGTGCACTTACCACGGTTCCATTTTTCCCTAATGTAATGGAATACAAAATAATTGTATTATTAAATAATGCTTACCAGCACATATTGAACAAAAGACTTAAGTAGCTAATGCCCAGGATGAGTCACTAATAGCTAAGCTAAATTGAGGATTGCTAACTGTCAATTGTTTTATGATCACTATTATATACTGTTTACTCTCAAACTCTGCCAATGCCAGCAGTGAGTTAGTTATTTTGTTGTTAGCTAAAATA